TGCATAAAATTTTCGGTTTTACTTGTTTTAAAATAGTATCTGCAAAAGAACTCCGGGTTTTCTGCTGTTGACATATACCAGTAGAAATCTCCGTTATTTCCACCGAACATTGGATATTTATGCTTTGTTGTAATGATTGGGTCAAATTTTATCCCAGCGTGAAAACATTGGGAATCTGTAACATGTGTCTTTCCATGATTCCGGAATTTTAGTTTTTTATGTCTTGTGTTGAAATTATGTCTGATACTGAGATTCTCTCTGCGGTTTTCGTCATTGTATCTATTGCTGTATTCACCTTGGTAATTTCTGTTGTAGTTTCCGTTATCATTCCTGTTGTAATTGTCTGACCTATTCGGTGAATTATTGTTGTTCATATTTCTGCTAAAATTATTATTTTTTTGGTATTCGCAACTCGTGCCCCTGTAAACATTTTGATTTCCATTGAACGGCCTTTGATTAGACCTAACGAAATTATTCGGAAAATCTCTATGAGATCCGAATTTTCTATCAAACGAATTATTTTGTTGATCGTTCCGTTGGTACTGGTTAAAATATTTGGGTTGATTTACATGAATATCCCAATTATTCCGGTTCCTTTGTGATTTTGATTTTTCAGCGATGTGAATACACTGAAGTCTTTTTTCGATATCCTCAATTTGTTTTTCGTAGATACACTCTTCCTGTAAACATTTGACTAGTTCATTGAAGGTGTTATTTTTCTGTGATTTTGCCATATTTTTCAAGTTCCTATTTTTCAAACCTCCCAAAAAATGTATCCTCAAATGCCGTAGTGCATATGACTCTCTGCCTTTGGCATTGTTTTCTTCATATTCATCCACGTATTCTTTTAATGTTAATGCCCTATCTTTGTAATCTTGAAAGGATTCGTTTGGTCCTTGCTCCAAAGTTTCGATTTTCTGAAAAATTTCTTCCAGTTTAACATTTGTCCCAAATTCTCTTTCGAGATTAATTCTCACTTCGGGCCATGTTTCCGCATAAATGCGTTTGAAATACCCTGATGCCGGATCTTTCAATTTCATCAAAATTACCTGAACTAAAGGTTCATGCGATTCTTCTACTGGCAATTTCTTAGCGAAGAAATCGCACTGGTATAAAAACGATCGTAATTCTGAGGCCGCGCCTCTGAACTCTGGAATGCATTGAATAGCTCTTTCAGTCGGGAACTCTGCCATTTTTGTTTCTTTTTCGAAGCAAACGAGTAAAAATGCGACTGTTTCTCAGTCTCTTATTAAATTATGGATATTGCTATTATCTTCCGTTTTCGCGAATTTATTTGGATCAAAAACGCTTTCAGCGTAAATTCAAGACAACATTATTTTTTCATGTTTTGTGCTTTGTTAATTAAATTTGCCTGCTGGCCTTTTAAATTTGTTGAAATTAATTTAACGTTCCCTTAAAGTGGTTGAAAAAAAAGGATAATAATTACACCGCAAAAATTCTGAATTTTACTTATGATGTAGACATTGATGAGTGGAAACTTATATTTCATATCACGCAATCCAGCATCTTGCAAGAAGTATTGCTTACAAAGATTAAATGTACAATATTTGAAACATTGCTTGAAACGTATCAGAACTTTAATCAATTTATAATGTTCACTTGTATGATATGAGACACTCCATTTATGTGTATCTAGAATAGAACTTAACACATTTTTTTTAACCGTGTACTCACCCTATCAGGAGCAGGATCAGGGTTATTCCTTGTTGAGTCTGCGATGAAGTTCCCAGTTGAAGTCCCCATATCTTTATAGTTGACCAGATGTGCACCAATGTGCTGTACTCTTTATTAATCACTAGTTCACTTTTTCCTTTTTTGTAATTTAATCAAAGTCACTTTTTGGTTTTTTAACACTTACTGATTTTAGCCAGTCGAAATTTTGGCGTTCCAACACTTGAAAATAGCGGTTTAGTTTCCGCTGTCACCAGATGAAGCGCCCATACTCCGTTGCGCATCCATGTTTCACTCCCGTGTTGAAGTGCCCAACGTAGAGCAACAACTCGCGTGGTCTTTCTTTCTCCGTAAAATGAAAGACAGTGCAATTCCATTTCTACTGTATGGAAAAACCTCTTTGATGAATCAGTTATCCTGAGGTTGGAACTGTGCTCGTCCGCACCTAGCAAACCTCGGATAATAACTCATCAGAACAACTGCCCCGATTCTTTATTCTTCGAAACCTTTTATACATGAATTTGTTACTTAAACTCTACACAATAGTTTTTCTCCAGTATGTACATATAAAGCGAGACAGATAGTTTTTCTCTTGGAAAGTCGGTGTCTGTTTTTTTTAACAAGAATTAATGCTCCTCGCGGTAGGAACGGCTATGTAGGATGCTTACTCACCAATGTTTACTTTGACCTTTCTCGAAGCACCTAGTTAAGTCAGCGCGCATCGCTGACGACGCGGTAGCAACTGTTTATAAACAACTGACCCTGGAAATGTGCAACATTGTCACTGCTGCTGTTAAGTTGTGTATTTTCTACTACCGTATGGGGGTCTATTACTGGTTAATTTCTTACTCAGATTGATATTGGATTTTGAGGCCTTTGCAATGGGTTTATTTGGACGATATTATCTTAGCAACTGAGACATTAAGCCAACATTTCGAGCTAATTAAAGAAGTTGCCAATCGTTTAAAACAGGCAAATTTGACAATAAGTTTAAATAAATCCAAGTTTGGTAGAAAAAGCGTAAGGTATTTAGGATACGTGATTTCAGATCAGGAATTTCGATCGACATGGAGAAAATTAAACCTATCCTTGATTACCAAACACCAAAAACAGTGAAAGATATTAGGCGCTTGCTCGGGTTGGCAAACTTTTATCAGAAATTCATAAAAAAGTACAGTGACATAACAGCACCGATTTCCGATCTCTTGAAAAAGGACAAGAAAAATTTTTCCTGGAGCAAAGAAGCAGAGGAGGCATTAGGGAGGCTTAAAGAGGCATTGATTAGTCCACCAATTCTAGCAAACCCCAACTTTGAGGAGGTATTTACAATTGAATCAGACGCCTCTGATTTGGCTGTAGGAGCAGTCCTAACCCAAATACAGGACGGCGAAAAACGAATTATAGCGTACTTTAGCAAAAAGTTAAATTCCACTAGAAGAAAATATGCTGCGGTGGAAAAGGAGTGTTTGGCTGTTTTATGGGCAATTGAAGCATTCCGCAACTACGTCGAGGGAACCCATTTTCGAGTGGTTACAGACGCTCGAAGTTTGGTCTGGCTGTCAAAAGTCAGCGCAGAAAAAGGATCGGCGAAGTTATGCAGATGGGCTCTCAAACTCCAACAGTTTGATTTTAGCATAGAATACAGGAGAGGACGAGACAACATAACAGCTGACTGTCTCTCAAGATCACTCAACACCATCCAAGCAAAATGGGAAGATGCTGACTACAATGGGATGATAGAAAAAATTAAAAAAAATCCTGAAAAATTCAAAGAGTTTAGACTGATAGACGATAAAATTTTTAAATATGTAGGCAACGAAACGAACATAACAGATACAAGATTTGAATGGAAGCTTATTCCTACAAAGCCAGACAGACTGAACCTGATCAAAAAAATACATGAAGAGGCTCACTTAGGAACAGAAAAAACATTAGAAAAATTAAGAGAAAAGTTCTACTGGCCTTTGATGTACAGTGAGGTAAAACGTTATTGTGACGGCTGCATGTCATGCAAAACATCAAAATCAGATAATGTTAACCATGTGCCCCCTATGGGCAAACAAAAAATAGCTAACCAGCCATGGCAAATAATCGCCATTGATTATGTTGGACCGTATCCACGCGCAAAACGATCGGGTAACACATGTTTACTAGTTATTACGGACATTTTTTCAAAATTTGTAATCATTCAACCATTTAAAGAAGCGAAAGCCAAACAGCTTGTCTTTTTTATGGAAAATATGGTCTTTTTGCTTTTTGGAGTGCCCGAAATTGTTTTGTCAGACAATGGGGCACAATTTACATCAAAAGAATTTAAAAAATTATTGGAAAATTACGGTGTAAGTCATTGGCTCACCCCGGTTTACTTTCCACAAGTGAATAATGCTGAAAGGACAAACCGCGTAATAACTTCGGCAATACGAGCCCTTATAAAAAAAGACCAGAATGAGTGGGACACAAACATTTACAAAATTGCAAATGCGATAAATAATGCAACCCATGCATCCAGTAAGTTCTCACCATATTTTGTAAATTTTGGTAGGAACCAGATCAGTTCAGGTGAAGAATATCAAGTTTTAAGAGACACGGAAAGGGACTTGACCCCCACCGAAAAAGAACATGGCAAAAAAATGAACAAAATATTCGAGGAAGTACGAAAAATATTCAAAATATTATAACCTGCGCGCAGGAAAAATGGTCGATTTTGCAGTAGGACAAAAAGTCCTGAAGAAAAACTATTTTTTGTCAGACAAAGCGAAAGGATTCAATGCAAAGCTGGCTCCTAAATTTTCTGAGGCTATAATTAAGAAAAAAGTGGGCGACTATTGTTATATATTAGAAGATTTAAATGGCAAAACTCTCGGAATGTATCATGTTTCTCAATTGAAAAAGATTTAATATCAAGATAAAAAATAACAAAATAAAAAATTGGAAAGCTATGTATAAATACCAACACAAACACAAAAATACGGAAATCGGTTAAATAATCAGTGCAAGGTAAATGCAATAACGAAAGCGAAAAATAATCACAATTATAATGTAAATAGTAAATAATGTACATATTTCAGTTTAAGTTAAAATGGTAATTAAGTTCAATGAAATTCATAATTGGTGCACCAGACTTTAAGTCTGTGCAATCATTCAAGATAATAATTTCACAAATTTTCGCAAGCTATGTAAATAAACAATGAGGATAGCCATCGGTTAAACCAAACAAAAATACGCACTGTCGGAACATAAATGTAGATAGCAAAAGCAAGGTCAAAAGGATAAACCTAAGCGTAAATAAGAACAGCATAAATACTCACCAAAAACCACGAAACAATTTGATCAACATCGATCAGTCACAACATCCATAATCGGTTTCGTGCTAAAATAAAATGTAAATTTGTAAATAGTTATTGATAATGCTACCAGTAAATTTTAATCCAACATAAGTCTATTTGAATGCTTTTCATCTTTTTCTAAAGATTCCAAAAGATTTTCACAACAAATCAAAACGGAGTCACATATCCATCACCACGTGAAAGATAGAGTGGCTCCATATAAAATTGATAAATAGGATAGGTCATTTGAAGGTCATTTAGAAAAATTGCGAAACAAAGGAACCATAACTAGACAATAGATATGCAAAGGTAGGAGATGGAAATTAGGGTAAATATGTAAATTAGGTAGGAAATAGGCTGTCAGTTAAGTAGATAAATTGGTACTTACGTTTTTGGCAATTCCATAACATGGCGTATCCTGGGAAGCATACCACATAATTCACTTCACTTCAATAGCCTGAAGCATGTTCCTTAGTAGGTTTTTTTCAACAGCTAGCGAGAACGCGCTTCCCGCAGTAGCTACTCACAATAGACTATACCGATTCACATTCTCCGACAAAGCAATAGCCTGGTAATTTCAAAATTCATCTCTGTGCCGAGAGAGAGAAACGCAAGAGAAATATTCGGGTTGTGTAGAGATTTTGATCGTGTCCATATAACAATATGGAGTAACTTGGTAGTAGTTACCTACATTTTGACGATACTAATATGTTCTGACCAACGGTCAGGTACATTTTTATAATGCGGAATATGTAGTGGTAGGAGTTTGTAGGTTCAAATTTGTTTTTTTTGCCAATAGGTTTATTGGAGTGATACGTTGGGAGAAATACGAAAATATGATCAGTTTATCAACTGGTGTTGAATCGGGTATACGTTCGCCGCGGATCTCTCTCGGAGGGTGTAATAGTTGAACAATTTTGTCAATGGATGGTTATAAGAATTTGCAGGAATTTAGTGATAGGTGTAAATATTAGGGTAAAGGGTAAATATTGCAAATTAAGTGTAAATATTAGGGAATAAGATCGGAAAATATCGGTGTACGTATGCATTGAAGGAAATTAAGGTGTAAAAAGGTCAGAAAAAAAAAATTATTTCATAATTTTTTTTTTTGGGTTAGTGGGGAGTGATGAAACGGTCAAACGATCGTTTCATATAGAAGCGTTAGAGTTGGTTGCTCCTAGTGCTTAGGCAATAGGTGAATTCGAGTGCTCGAATCAATTTGTTTTGAAATGACGATGATAGTGGGGTGACTGTGTTTTCACCCATGTCAATGATTAATGACAGGGAAAATCTAATGATGAATTTTAGAAATCAAGATAGAACCGGAAACAAAACTTGGAATATTGAAAAGATGAAATGAATAGAAGGGAAGTTTATTGGTTGGTCAGGGAGAGCTATTTGGTCTTTCCCTTTTGGACCGCCGAGTGAAGAAGATCAGTACAGAATTTAAAGAAAATCAGTGCAGTGAACAAAACCTATAATAAAATCAAGTACGGTGAAAACTTAAAGAAAAAAAAATTAAAATGTTGTAATGTGGTGTAATTATTTTTTCAGAATTTATTAACCTTTTTTTATACATAAAAAGCACACAAAAACGTGAGTCACGAGTGCGAAAATCGTTTATAAAAGTAAGCGAAGTTTATTTGCAAAAGTGAAGATAGTTTCCTAATCAGTTAAATTTTTTATTGAAAGGTTTTTTCTAGAAAAACAGGCTAAGGTAGCTAAAAGTGAGTCGGAGTAATTTAAGTGAAAAGATTGAGAATTCAGGTAAAGTAGTGGATAAAAACATGTGTGATGTGTTTCTGAGGAGTTTTCTTTGTTTCTACAGAAGCCACTGAGCGGTGGCAACAGCGATTTGGGCTTGTGGCAGGAACGTTCGCTAAACATATTGCGAGGTTATTTTGGACGGTATTTCCATCGGTTCACCGCCCAGAGTGAATTTGAGTCCTTGGTTGGTGGTATCAGGCTTGGTTACCCTGAGTGCTCCTATCGCCTCGTGGTTGCGTACCACTATAGGACATTCGGAGAGCGTTGGTCATCGGATGAAGAACTCGGCCCCACGTGCATCACACGCCTAAAGTGATTGCCTGTTTCGTGGGAAGGTCCACAAGGGGGAAGGCTGCCAACGCCAGCGTAATCCGCCCGACTCACGTCCTGAAAACCGGAGGCCCTCCGTGCGATACCACCCCACAGAAAAACCGCCCACCGACGCTAGTGCACACTGGAACTATCCCAAACGGTGAATTCCTTATCTAGCGAGTTTCGCCCGGCAATGCCACTCGACGACATCCGCCCCACCCAGTGCCCGCTATTGGTCGCCACTCTGGCGACGCTCCCTTTTTGAGGTTAGGATACGGCGTTGTCTGACCCGGCGATCGTTGCGGTCATAGCGATCTCCAACCGTCGCATCTTCATCTTGGTCGCGGTGAACAACTTGGCACCGAACCATCGAGCATCATCGAGCCGGTCTGAAGTAGATTGGTTTACCCCCCCCCCCCCCCGGCAACGGTCGGGGTGATCATCATCGTCCATCATCATACGGAAGAGCCACCCACTACGGACGAGTGTGGCTCGAACAGGTACCGTTGAGCAGCAACCGTAAGTACGCGAACCATTCTCCTCACACACACAAGAACACCGATTTATAAGTAGGGACCCTGAATTATATTTAGTAGGGGAAGAAAGCTTTTTAGGGGTTAGAACGACTCACAAGGGAACACAAAAGGGGGGAAGGGAAGAGTGACGTCACACATAGGAGAAAAAGGTAGAGCAGGGTTTTGTGAATAAAACAACAACAACAAAAATTAAAACGAGCAAACCATAAATGGATTTTTTTTGAACCTTTCAAAACCAGGTTTTTTTTTTCGTTAAATCGAATTTGACTTTACTGAACTTGATTTTAATAAACCTATTTCACATGCACCGTATTTTAAAATTCACTCAATCAATTAAAAACAATTGGAAGATAAAATTAGAATAGAAGAATTGGGGGGAAAAAGAACGATTGGACTATTGGACTTGGGACGTTGATGGTTTTTGGTCGTTGGGTTACTCTAGTGGGTGGAATCTGCTGGGTTGAGAAAACTGCTAGCTGGGCACACATATCTGCAATTCTCGGCAGACGACTTCTTCGTCTGGCGCATAAGCCGGAATTTTTTGAGAACCCTAGCAGGATCCCCCTTACATTGGCGCCCAACGTGGATCCCCCTTACAAAAGTTTGAAAATTTTAAAAATCTTGAAAATCTCTCATCTCTTTAGAGCAAAATCAAAATAAGGCGTTTGTTCAGAATGCCAAAATAAGCGTTTTGGTCAAGTTAGGCTCAAATCGGTGACATCGACCACAGGTGGTGTACCCACTTGAGCTGGAATGCCCCATATACCACATCATCAAATCATACACTGAACGAATTTGACATATTCCTGTTATGTGGAAGTCTAATAAATTTGCGCTATAAGATAATCCATTGAAAATGATATGATTGAAAATGTGTCAGGTAAATTCTATATGAATATCTGATACATTTACAATGCTGATAATTTGGTAACTTTTATATGATCGTCATATGATAAATGAAAATCGATTAAATTATAATAATTAACTGAAATGGATTTGAAACCCATAAGCATAAGCTATACTTTTCACCACAATATAATATATGTGTCATAAATCAATCGAAGTAAAGTTTATGTGAAAATAACATGAAATTTACTTCTTCTTTTGACACATATATTTAATCGATATCTAAAAATAAATTCGAAAAATAAACATCAGGCAGTGGGAGCTTTCACAGTTGTGCCTTTTTTTTATTGTAGCTGATTTGGGATTCGATCAAGATCTGTTGAGGTGTGATGCTTTCGGTGTCTGTGCTCGATTCCACTGGGCCACGGCTGACTTCAAGATTGAGCTCGTTCAAATAGCATGAAGTAAGAACAGCTCTCCCGACATGGAATGTAGTGCAACTTTATGCTCGTTTTGCTAGAGTGAAGACAAATAGCACTGACAAATTTATGTTCCGTTTCGGTGGTGTGGTTTGTTCAAATCTTTCTTAATGCACCTGTGTGCAATAAATCAACGACTAAATTATATGATTTGATAGAACTGGCTCATGAAGTTCGAGTACTACTTAGGGCTGGAATCTGAATTAGCCGTGTAGAAGGCTTACAATTAGAATCACAGCAAAGTAAATATTACAGTAGAATCATTTTTTTTCAATCTCAATACATTCTTTTCTGGAACCAATTATCATATGAATGAGTGTACGTTAACATCGATGAAAATTGTTTCAATAATTTATAAAGAACAATCATGTAAGATGTATTTTATTGGGAGCGATATTCATCCCAGAAAAACATGCAAAAACAAATGCTTGCTGTTGGATTTCTTAAAAGGCATTTCTATATGACTATTTAATGATTGGGATAGATCTGTTTACAATCTTTAAACGTCAAAAATCAAAGCAAGCTATTACGATGAGATATACATGTTTTCCTATACTGCAAAGTTAAATGACAGTCCAATAGTTTCTACATGTCTATTCACACGCGACATATCAACAAACGTCAAAAATCAGTAAAAGCAACTCCAATAAAATATACATGATTATCTTATAAGATATATATTTTAGTGAGCAATATTCATCATGAAAACAGGTATATTTTACTGAATTTTCTCATAGTGCAAACTTATATGATTTTCCATTAGTTTCTAGATGTCTGTTCCCACCCATGACATATCAACAGTTTTTCACCATGAAATATATCAGACAATATTCATATACTTCTTACCTTCGCTAACCACGTTCGAAGCAAAGTATTATCAAGTACTAAGTATGTGAAATTACGATAGAAATCATTCCATATCGCAGTCATAGTTTTTAAGTGATAATCCAATGGAATCTATCAATCATAACATAGAATGAATAAATATGCTGACATTGCTATGTTATAAGATGGATCCAATAAACGGTACATGTCGATTTGTTTCAGTGTATCTACTCAACGAAATATGTATCACCACTTGTGTTTAACTGCGTTACGTCCCCTCTGGGACTTTAAGCCAGTTCTCAATTTAGTGTTCTTTGAGCACTTCCACAATTTTTACAAACCGAAAAATTCATAAACAGAACTGGGAATCGAACCCAACCACCTTCTGCATGGTCTTGTTTTATAGCTGGAGCTTAACCGAGTAAGCACAGCTGTGGCTTAACCGAGTAAATGACATTTAAATAAAAAATCATTAATCAAAATGGACACCGTGAGGACGGTTTTAGATGCTTCTAAAAAATGTTTGGATACAGGCAAATCCGTTGTCTATAACTTTTTGATTCAAAAATTCCAAATATGTTGTATCAATGATCATTATTCAGAAGTTGGCAGGCATTTAAAAAAAATATTAATGAATGTCTTCGTGGGGGAAATCGACTTAATTCTCTATAAAACGATCTGCGTAGTTGATGGACAGTCCCATAGTAACTGTCAGTCTATCAGCCAGTTTTATATACTCAATTTGATCATCTACCTGATGTGATATTAGGCACTATCTACATTCCACAAGATCAATTTTG